TCCAGGAAGCTCTGAAGTTCATAAATAGTACTTTAACCTCGCTGAAGGTACAGTTTTTTGCACGCAGACACTTCTCCAATGCTGGGAATTTGTTTATACCATTGTTTAGAAGTTTTGATTTAATCAAATTGAATTTTGAACTTGAATAAGCAGTGGAGTGAATACTTTCATTTAAAGGAATTCAATCCATTGAGTCGATTTTAATTTTTTCTTTTATTTTTATTTTTGTTGAGACTATCAAGTGTTGAGTTGGTAGTATTTTTGTGGTCAGGTTAGATGCTCTGTTTTTATGGCTTTGATTGTAGTTGGGTTGTTTTCATAGTTGGGAGTTTTTATGTTGTTTTTATTAGTGAGATGTTGGGTGATCTATTGGTTGGTTTTATTTTCTAAATTTGTTCTTTCTTTCATTTCTCTCGATCACAACTTGGTTCTGTATATGTTAATTTTACCATTTATTGAAGTGTAGTGTTAAATTGATGAAAATAATTATGATCTACTAAACTGACTACAGCGGGAAAATATATTCTCGTTTTACATTTTGTTATCCCGCTGCCTCTTCTCGTGTTCTTTTCAATGTAAAATAACCATTCATGTTTTTGATTTTATCAGAAGAAGCAACCAAAGAAACAACAGCTCTCAATGATTCAGGCCCTTATCAGTGTGAAGAAGGAATTGCGAGAAGTTCTAGATGTTCTAGGATTGCTATCCTCTTCTACTTCCTCTGAAGTAAATATAATCTGTCTTGGTGTTTTATTTATTTTGCTCCTTTTATTTATCTTCACACTTTTATTGTCTTGGTCCCTCACATGTCAATAGACTTTGATTTTTGAAACTTCAAACCTATTTATTTTTAATCTTGCAGGCAAACATTTCATGTTTCTTGTTTTCTGAAATTTGAAATTGAATTTTTTAAAATTTTATACAAAAGTTCGTTTTTTTTTTTTATAAATAAAATTAAAACCCAAAGCTGCATTTTTTAGTCAAAAATGATAAATTTTACTTTTATTTATGTTTTTGGGAAAAGAAAACTGCAATAGGAATAAGAAATAAGAGATTGGACTTGTTGTTTCTAAAACTTATAAACAGTTACCAAATGCTATCGTTTCTAACAATTAGAAACAAGAAACAAAGACTGTTATTAATCAACTCTGAATTTGTCTATGTAAGTTAAAAGATCAAATGAAATATTCCAAGCATTGGGATCATAAGAGAACAAACCTTCTGTCTTCTCTACATAAATAAAAAAAATGAGTGAATAAGAGAACGAGATGAAGGTTTGTATATTATAGGCTGGAATTCAACTAGTTGAACATGCATTTCTGATGTGAGGTGTTTTCCCTGTGTAGGTTTTGCAGCAGTTGAAAGACAAAGCAGTTAAGAGAGCAGGCATGGTGGAAGATGATATACTGAAATTGATCGACGATAGAACACAAGCAAGGAAAAACAAAGATTTTGCGAGAAGTGACCAAATCCGAGCCGAGCTATCTGCCTTGGGCATAGCTCTCATGGATGTTGGCAAAGAGACCATCTGGAGACCGTGTGTTCCTGTAGAACTGGCACCACCGCCTCCTCCGTCTGAACAGAACAAGCCTACTCCATTGGCCGAGAAAAAACCAACAGAGCAGCAGGTTGCTCAGCCACCAGCAGTTGAACAGAACAAAGCAGCTCAAGAACAAACAGTACAGGATGCTCAGCCACATGAGGAAAATAAGGCGACCGTGCCCGTCTGATGTTGCATCCGCTTTGTTGACGAAAGGGATGAAGGATGAGATTTACATAACATTGTTGGCCAGTTGTAAACACTCGTTGGCCCTTAATATAGAAACCTGAAGGATTTTGGAAGAGCATGTGTAGCATACAGGTATGAACTCTACTTCCATTTACTTTAATTTTTGTGAACTGTGATACCGAGAGAAATTTGTATCTTATACGGCTGTTTTGGGGACCAAAAATTAATCCCAGCTGACTGCCTGTTGGGTTTTTCATTTGAAATATTTGATTATGAACCAAGAAGGAGACTGGATTGCTCAATCACCGTCATTTTCTTTATGGTTGAGTGTTTTATCAAATCTTAAGGACGAGAATGAGAACACACAAATTTGAGCAAAGGAAATACACCTGATTTACACTGATTTAATGAGAATTGCACACTAATGTGATGCTTACATCAAAGTTTAAGAGGTAAAGTGTACATGCTAAGAGTTTGAGAGTGAGGTTTGAGTTGCCTTCAATGGAGTTTTTCACAAAGGATGACCTAGGTTTTTGCTTCCCTCTTATCTTAATCTTGTAAAAGGTTGAATCAAGCATTTTTTTTTTTTTTTTTGGCTTGGACTGTTGGCGTGCGATGCATTCACATGTGCTTAACCCACCTCTACTTGACTAGGTCGGATGAGGTAGAATTTTGGGCCTTTTGGTGCAGTAACTTCTCTATTTTTGCTCAAAATTAGCTGAGGTCCTGTGGTAGCCCTAGTTTTTCTCCTAGTAGTCCTCTACCCTTTTGAGTTTGATCCAATTGTCTAACTTTACCGCTAACATTAAGTTTATGCTCCAAGTTGAGGTTTGTAGTTTAGTTCTTCGGAAATTTAGAGCCTACCTTGGTATTAAATATTATTTGTGAATCTAATACAAAGGTGATCCTTTGGAGTGACACACTTCAAGTATGATGTTTTGACTTTACTAAACTTGGAATAAAAGTCCGTAGTTTGTAGTTTGTGAATTATGGTCTTACGGAATTAAATATTCCCAAATGTTTGGGCGGCTAGAATCAGCTAACCAAACACCTATTTGAGATTCAATTAATCTTCTGACGTCATTCTTCCACGATTAAGCAAAGTTTTTCATTGGTTATGATTGGTTAAGCTTTATTAAGCATGCTTTGTCATCATTGGTTATGATTGGTTAAGCTTTATTAAGCATGCTTTGTCATATTCAAACGGGATCAATCGTGAATTTCGTAAGATTTTTTAGGTTTTCAAGATTAGTCAATCAAGCTTTCGAGGTCAATCAATATTTTGGGCTACTTCCTTCGCACTTAATTGCAGTTTTCATGTTAATATTGGATTCATATTTGAGCTCTAATTCACATTAGAGAATAAATGTTTCAATCGCGCAACAATTTAAGAAATATAAAGATACTTCCGGTAGGTCTCTAAATTACTTGCTTCGGTTCTTTCAACTACTCTATGAATGCAATATAAGGATGAGAGATATATTTGAAGGCAGCAACATATTAGAATATAATATTTTATTTTTCAAAATAATATGTTTGAAGGTAGCAACATATTAGAATATAATATTTTATTTAAATTATATTTAATGTATCAAATACAATAAATATACTCTTTTATATCTAATATCATTTATGTACTAAAATTATATTCAACTAGATATATTTTCTTCTGTATATTTAATACATATAATATATTAAATATTAATTTAAACATTTCCAATTATATATATATATGTATATTATTTAATTAATTGATTAATTAAGCGAGAAGATGAGCCATATTTTTCAAGGGAAACCAAGGAGGAAATTACTTATGTTTGCACCTCGGTGAGTTTCTACTCCATAACGGTAGGTAGTTTTATAGCTCCAAATAATACTAAATAATTTTTCTAACTTTTACACATTGTCTGTCCTTATCAATTTCTATATTTATTATAAAAAATATATATTTAGATCAATTCCAAAATTTGTATTTTGTATAATTTAATATTTATTTTTTCAACATTTTAGCTACGTAAGTTTGTATTTGGCAGCATTTTAGTATATGTGATCTCATTTTTGTTAATTACCAAATGGAAAATTGATCTATAATGTATTTTAAGGCTTTTATTTATTTTAACATTTGCATAGGGACTACTTATGGTCATAAAGTATTAATGTTACCACTTTTAAAATGCCCAGATTTTCATTTTGAAACTATATAAACCATGTATGTTATATTTGTAAAGGAGATTGGAAAAATGTAGTAAAAACAACATTTGTGCTTTTATTTACTCAATGAAAAATTTCTTTGCAATTATATGTAATTTAGATTGCATGCTTAAAATCATTCAAACTTGACATGATCGATTTTGCTTGTAGAGTGATTCGAATCTCAATCAAGTTTCTTACTATTTTAATAACAAGGTACTCTAAATTTTACTTTTCATTCAAGTGATTTGGTGAAGTGTTCTTACCTTTCCTTTATTCAAGAGTTAAGTTTCTTTATAATTATATGTAGTTAGATTGCATGTTTATAATCATTCAAGCTTAACATGATCAATCTTATTTGTGGAGTGATTTGAATATTAAAGGAGTGTTTTTTCCTTAAAATATTTGAACAAAGTAATCTGAATCTTACTTTCCTTTGGGGTGATTACTTATCATTTAGTATGAGAGTCATGCCTTTAACTTAGTCATGCCAATAGAATCTTCAAGTGCTTAACAAGAAAGTTGTGAGCTTCGAGTATAGTCAAAGGTGACTCAAGTGCTGAACAAAATGTGTATTTTGTTTGAGAAGAGAATAGTCGTTGACTAATGAAGAGGAATATCATGGACAAGTATAGAAACATATCTTACGACACATTTTGAGAAATAAAAAATAAGGGAAAAATATCATCCAACCGTGGTAAAGAAATTATAACTGAACCGAAACGACCTGACCCGAATCAGGTCGGTTTAGTATTCAGTCCAGCCAAAACCGGATCGAATCAAAGCATACACCCGTCCGGTGTTGGATGGAAGAGAATTGTCTTGATTGCCTGCATTCGAATTTCGGATCTTGGAAAGCTCCGTGTCCGACGAACAAAATTCCTCCGATCACAAATTCGGCTTCTAGGTATTTACACTGATCCATTTCACCTCACCCTCCTTTTTGTCGCCGGATCTCGATTCCTAGCTTCAATCCCTTCTCTTCTACTCCTGATTTTCACTAACAAACTTTGAATTTCACTGCTACGCTTGCTCCCAACTGTTACCCTAAACCCCATTGTTCGATTTCTGAGTTGTACATTCTCAATCTCATGCCTTTTAGTTTCGTTCCCTTGCTGTCGTTGTTGTTTTTTTTTTTCTTTTATTCTTTTGCTTCTGCCTATCTCGCTGTGAATTGGAGATTTGACCCCTGTTGGGATAACACTCCCCGCCTCTGATCCCGCTTAATTTTATGGGGATTTTCTTTCGTGTTTTGTTAATTAAGATTAGCAGTATAATTGTTTATAATTCTTTTCGTAGCTACATCTCGTAAATGGCTGGAAAAGCTCAAATCCCCACCAAAAACTCAGCGCTTATTTCTATGATTGCTGATGAGGTATGTCCAATACATTTCCATATTGCAACAGCTTTTCTTTCTGGGTACCTTAAACTATTAAATTGACTCGAATTTTACTAGGAGTCAATATTCCGTACTTGTTTGATCTTATTGTTATCTGATTTTGGTGTTTGGTTTTCTTTTTACAGATAAACATGTGATCTTATCTTGTATCGTATGTGGTCCAAGTACCTTGTAAACCTGAATCTTAATAGGCTTCTACTTGTACGTGTGTCAAAGCAAATCTGCTAGTTAGTCACGTTTACATTAGTAGTTAGTCTTGAACCCAACAGTAAAATCTTTAGTATTAGTTTTTCTCCGAAACTGTCAAATTTGATAGATAAACATCCATTATTCAATGTTTTTCTTCTGTAATTTTATGTTTATTCTTCAGTTAATTGCCAAATTTCAAGGAAATATAAAGCATCTGGATAATATTATTAAAAAAAGAAAAAAATCTACATATTGATAATGATAATGATTGGGCTCCAGCTTATTCTGTTGTGTTTTGTATCTTGAACTATGCATGGTTTTTGGTTATACGTTTAATCTGAAATTTCTTTATAATAGGATACGGTGGTTGGATTTCTTCTTGCTGGAGTTGGTAATGTTGACCTGCGAAGAAAAACTAATTACCTTATAGTGGACTCTAGTAAGTATCCCTCTGATGCAAATATCTTGCAACTCTGATTTTCCATTTCGCTTGTAGCTTTGGCATCCTATTTTGTTAGGCTCACACTTCGTGTCTAAATCGTGTGAAACTTGCTGACATCCTTGTAATTTAAAATAGTCCATTTTGAACGTTAGCTTTTCACAAAAATTCCCAGTGATATATATGATATTCTAAATTAGCTCCAAAACTTGTAGTATTCCACTTTGAAACTTAGTTATGACACATTTAAGGATTTGGTCTAAACCAAGATGAAAATTTGTTTTCCCTCCAATTTATGTTTTATCATTGCAGAATTTCCTGAAAAAATCATCAGAGCTAAGATGGAATTTGGTAAACAGCGAATACTTTCCCCTAAGTAGATAATTTGGTTTCCCAATTTGACCTATAAGAATATTAAATGGCTATAACAAATCTGTGTGTAAAATCAAATTAACAAAATATGGTTATATTTTATTATCAAGTCGAGTGTCTCAATTTTTGTTCATGATAGAATTTTGTTATTATGATATAAAAATTGTGGTCAGGTGGGACACTAACTGTGATTGAAGTAGTTGTGATAAGTCAATCCTAATCCTTAGCCCAACGATCCAAGCTTTTGTTGAAGTTAGACTCTTGAATCAAAGAAATTAATACCTTCTTATACAAAATTTCGATCAACCAAGAAACAAAAATCGAATTAGATTACCTCTTAAGATCAAAGATCTAGATACAAGATTTGAAACTTTACCTTAAATTGAGTCGTTCCACCATGGAATTTGATCAAGACTTGATTGAATGACTTGAATGCAATCTACCCTAAGAATGACTTGAAATCTTAGAAATGGCAAGAATGATGCTCAAATTTTTTAGGGTGAAAGTCTCAATTTGAGAGCTCATTTCATTCATTTATAATCTCATAATCTTGTTTTTACCTGCCATTTTGTGGATATCTATAGCCTCTCCACAAAAGAAACCCCCCATCCTTCACATAGCCACTAAAAGAAGTGAGTGACCATGATTGACAAGTTCTTCCTTCTACCCTTCAAATGCCCACTAAAAAGAGTTATGAAATTAAAATAATAAATAAAGTCTACAAGGAAATTATTGATCAAGTGCTATTTAAGATAACCCTATGTTCCACTTCAACCTTGCAAATCTTAACTTCCAAAGCTCCAAATGGTCTCGTAGATGAAGAAGGAACACTTGTTGAATCTTCTTGGCCATGGATCGTAGGTTCAATTGAAGCTTGTTGAATACCATGATTCTTATCAAGTTGTCTCAGTCCCTTGATATAAATAAGATAATTTGATGACATAGCTTCTTTCATTTTTCATGTTTATGACATAGCTTCTACATTTTCATGTCGTGGGCTGCTATAGATATGTACATTAGCATTGGCAATGTTTAATTTTTTTAGTTAAAAATTTATTTGAAAAATAATCATTCACTGAGTAGGCCAAAAGATTAAAGGGACAAACTATCAAGAGGTTTTGGTTTATTATTATTATTGTTTAATTATCATCATCTCCATTCATTTAGATTTAAAATAAAAAATAAAAAAAATAATTGAAAGGGCCTTTTGTGTTTCTTTTTTTTGGGTTTCTGAGATGGTGTCTCCTCTATGCAATAAAGATCTAGAGTCGGAAGTTCATCTCTTCCTTCATTGCTCCTATGCTGAAATTTTTTGGAATTATATTCTTCCACATTCAATTGGTTGTGGTCCACCCTTGGACATCAACATTCTATTACCAACAATTTTGGTAAAGAAGGGCCTTTGGCTTCAATTCACTAATGTTTTCTGGATTTATGGCTTGAAAGGAATGATAGAATCTTCATGAATAAAGAGAAGTCCTTAGATCATTTCTTAAATTCTCTATCATTTGCGACACTTTCTTTATGTGAACTTATTTCTCCTTTTCCCCATTGGAAATAAATGTTTGCAGTCTTCTTTGGCTAGGGACTAGGGACTAGGGACGTCGCTTTCCTTTTTTATTTTTTGTTTTATTTTATTTATTTATTTTGTAATACCATACCTTCTTGTTTCTTATTTAAAAGAAAAAAATGTTCTGCATGAGATATGTGTGTGTGTGATCTAGAATCCAGATTGACCGGCCTAGCACTGGAATTTAGCTCGCATTGTACAAAGACCTGCAGTAGTAAATCATCTTTTTGTAGCATGGATGGCTGTTTTTAATATTTGCAAATGAAGTGTATTTAAAATGTTTTCATGTGTAATGTACTGATGTCTCCATGACAACTTTTGGTTTGATGCCACGTGGTTGATAGCTAAATATCAGTGACCGATGGTGCTGTGATTAAACCAAAAACAAAATTTTCACTACTTGATAGGAATCTGTTCATCTTATTCCATGGGTTTACAGAGCCATTTTGTGTTATGATAGTTTTTTCCATTTATCAAATATGCACTTTGACTTGTCTTTCTATCCTCTTCTTACGTCTCTAAAGTTTAACTCTAACGTCTTAGAGACAACTGTGAAACAAATTGAAGATGCTTTCAAAGAGTTTACAACAAGGGAGGATATTGCAATAGTGATGATTAGTCAATATGTAAGTTGTTTTATGGATTAATGCAATTTGGCGTTCCCATATGTTTACACCTTTTTATTCTCTGTGGCCATTAGGAACATCTGTTTTGGTTAAATTTTTCAATATTGGTTTCATTTTTTTTTTGAATTTCAGGTTGCAAACATGATCAGGTTTCTGGTAGATAGCTACAACAAGCCAATTCCTGCAATTTTGGAGATTCCTTCCAAGGATCACCCATATGACCCGGCACACGATTCAATTCTTTCCCGAGTAAAGAATCTGTTTTCTACTGAATCGGTGGCATCTGGGAGGCGTTAAAAAGATATTACATCTTATGCCCCCACTCTTTCTGAACTCATCCTCCTTTCTTCGAACATGCTGCACTTGGTTGGCGTTCCCCGCTTTCTTCTGCATTAGAATTTCATATTTTGTAATGATTCTATTCATATTTTGATGACTTGAATAAAACTTGAAGAAACATGGAGCTAGAGGAGCTCCTCGTGGGTATCCAAGCAACCCCATTGTTTTTCTTGTACCTTATTCCGTACATTTAAAACTGCAACCTAGAGGCATTACATCTACATATATCTAAAACCATTTGCCTCCGTATTTTTTTTGGCGTTTAAATCCAGTCCATTTCACAGTTTCATATTATATAATATTCCACGACTGTGACAAGGGTATTTTTTCTCAATTCACAGGTTCTATTTTTAAGGCGCTCTATTACTTCAAAGCATTTTCTTATTATGTTCATCTATCTATATTTCTGCATTAACTATTTCTGAGCATTCTCATCCCTACTGCCACTCTTTGAGTAGTTTGCTCTTTTGGGAAAGCAGTGTAAAGGGTTCAGAGGGAAACTTGTGATGTCATGGCAAAAGGTATTAAATCCACTTGTATTTCTAACAATTTTCTTGACGGGTTAAAAATTTTAAATACAGAAACCAAAGAAGATTGTTGAAGACTTAAGGGATCTCATTGGTGCTCGATGGCTCACATTTATGACACAAGTCATGCTTAGGATGAGTTTGTGGATGCCTACAATGATATGAGCTTCTAGATGTTGAGTCGATAACGAATTATTCTTTCTAAAGGTCTAAAAACCTCTCGTAGTAGACGCATTTTAAAAACCTTAGGGGAGGAGGAGGACAATATTTGCAAACTTTGAGGGGAAACCCAAAAAAGACAATATTTGCTGTGGTGGGCTTGAACGGTTACAAGTTATATTAGAGTCGGACTCAGGGCAGTGTGTCAATGAAGATGCTGGATATCAAGGGGGGTTGAATTGTAAGATCCTACATCGGTTGGAGAAGGGAACGAAACATTCTTTATAAGAGTTTAGAAACCTCTTTTTAGCAGACACGTTTTAAAAATGTTGAGGGGAAGCTCGAAAAAGAAAAAGCCTAAAGAGGACAATATCGGCTAATGGCGAGCTTGGGATGTTATAAGAAGATATGTATTAGTATTCTTAGTCTAACTAATCCACGCAAAAAACCCGAACTGACGTGTTGTATACTAAGTTAGGGACAATGAGTATTTTTGACCGTCGAGCTGTGTGCTACTTTAGGCTGTCACATAGTTTAATAGACAGTTCATATTTAACCAAGAACGAGTCTTATATACGAGTTCAAAATTTGTAATAAGTATAAATAAAGTCAACCTCAACCGATAAA